ACGACTGCCTGGCCTCGCCCCAGGTGGAAGGTCACGCGGAGGTTGCGGGTCTACGCAGCCCCCGCCACACCGGCGCCGTCGCCCGCACCAACCTCTCGGGCGACTGGGACCCCTTCGACGACCTGGCCGAAGAGCAATTCTTCGACGCTGTCGAGGGGCACCCGCCCGAGGCCGGTGGCCCGGCAGGCCCAGAGCGGGAACCCGAAGCGGTCAAGTCCCCGGCGCCTCGCGGCCCCGCCGCCGGGACCGCCCGCGGGCTGTCGGCGCCGGCTCTGCAGCGGCTCGACGCGGCTCGACGCCCGCCGGCGCGCCAACGCGGCGCCTCTCGGCCCTCCGCCGAGCCTGCCGCGGGCGCGCCCGAGGCCGCCGGCCCGGCAGGCCCAAAGGGGAGGTATTTAGAGAATCCTAAGTACCTCCACCATTGCCGCCGCGCCGGGCCCGCCGGAGCCGCTGGCCGCGCTGCTGCTGGGGGCGCCGCCGGAGTCGGCCCGGAGGGCCCGCCTGCCCCCCTCGCGGGGGCCGCCTGCGGCGCGGCTGCTGGGGTCGCTGGAGACGGCCCCGCCCAGTGGGAAGACGGCCCGGGGCTCCATCTTCCCACTCCCCCGGGGGCCGCTGGCCGCGCTGCCGCTGGGGGCAGCGCTGCCGCTGGGGCTGGCTTCTGTACTACTATGGGTTCTTCAGTTCTATCACAGGTCGGCCCGCCTGATGAAAGGGGCGCCATCGCTGGTGGAGAGGGGCCGAGCAGTACGGCGTCCAAGGCAGGCTGCACTTACACGAGCAGGCCTGCCGATTCTTCAGTTCATTTACAGGTCGGCCCGCCTGATGAAAGGGGCGCCCTCGCTGGTGGAGAGGGGCCGAGCTGTTCGACGTCCCAGGGAGGCTGCATTTACACGAGCAGGCCTCCCAGTTCTTCAGTTTTGTTGCAGGTCAGCCCGCCTGTTGAAAGGGGCGCGCCAGGAGCCTCTCCTGGAATTCTAAGCGTCCCTGACTGTGCGCTCAGAATTGCTGCCAGCACGGCTGGGGGCGCACCCGGCGTCGCTGGCGGGCCGCCAGGGGCCTCACCTGGAATTCTGAGCGCCCCTGGCTGTGCTCTCAGAATTGCTGCCGGCACGGCTGGGGGCGCACGCGGCGTCGCTGGCGGGCCGCCGGGGGCCTCTCCTGGAATTCTGAGCGCCCCTGGCTGTGCGCTCAGTAAGGCTGCCGGCACGGCTGGGGGCGCACCCGGCGCCGATGGCGGGCCGCCAGGGGCCTCTCCTGGAATTCTGAGCGCCCCTGGCTGCGCGCTCAGAATTGCTGCTGGCACGGCTGGGGGCGCACCCGGCGTCGCTGGCGGCGCCATCGAGCGGCAGGAAGACGGCCAGCAGCGGGGGCAGGATCCGCCGACCCAGGGCACGCCCCACGGGTTCGCCAGCCAGCCCACGGCGCCGTCGCCGTCGCAAGGGCAGGCCCCAGGCGACACCCCCGCTGCCCCGTTCCTCGTCCCGCTGGACACCTGGCTCGGTGCCGCACCCTGCCGGCACAGCGCTGTGCAGGTTCACTCCGACCTGCTCTGCCACCCTTTCCTCGACAAGCGCGAGGACCAGGCCCACGCCCTTGCGGAGCTCTACGGCAGCTGGGTCACCCAGGTTGAGGCCGCCATCCTCCAGCACGAGGGCTGCGACAAGGCGAACTGGGCCGCCCGCCAGGGCAGGGCGCGCGGTTTTGGCGTCACCTGGAGGCAGACGGCGGCTAGCCCAGGCAGGGCCCACCTCCACCATCCTGAGGCGGACGCCTGGGCCACCCACAGCGCCAACCTCGCGGCCATCCTCGCGCTGGCTGCCAGCGGCAAGGACCACCGACAGCTGCTGTGGCGCCTCGACTTGCACCGCAGCACCCTCGCGGACATCGGCAAGCTCTCGGCCACCACGCGCACGGACCAGCTGGCGGACTACCAGCGCAGGGCCACGGTGATCCTCGACCTGCCCCGTCAGGAGCAGGCGGCCGCCAGGCAGCTCGCCCTCGACCTCGCTGGCGACGCCGCACGAAGGGCCCTCCAGCACGGGCGCCAAGCCTTTG